GTGACGCCCTCGGAGCCCCGGAAGGCGTCGGGGGGCAGCCCGGCGTTCCTCAGCTGGTTGTCATGGAGGTACACGGACCTGAGGGGAGCCAGGCTCTGGCCACCAGCCTGCCCCTGCGGGCCCTGCCGCACCCTACCCCTACCTCACACCCCGGCTCAGGGCCCCCGTCAGTGCATCCGTGTGAGCACGTGCAAGAGCGGATGCAAGCGTGTGAGTGTATGCGTACACTCGCGTTCATGTGTGCAGGGAGAGTGTGCGTGCAATGCAGGTGTACGTAGGCAAAAGGGCTGTGTGTGGGCACGTATGTGCATGAGGGTGTATACATGTGAATGTGTGCATGTGTGTGAGCGCGTGTGGGGTTGTGTGTATATCCGCATGCACGCACACGTGTGTGGACGCGTGTGAACATATGTGTGTGTGAGCACGCACGCGTGTGGGTGTGTAAGAATTGAGTGTGTGCGTGCATGTAAACATGCATGTGGGCATGCACATGCGTGCAGCTGAGTGTGAGTGTCTATCTATGGAAGTGTGTGCATGCATGTGTGTGTGAGAGTGAGCACGTGTGTGCTGGCTCCATCCCAGTCTAAGGAACGCTCCCAACATAGAACACAGGGCCATCTCCTCTCTCAGACCCCGGGGGGACTATGGTTCAGCCTCCTTAGACACCCCCAGGGCAGAAAGGTGACCCCCTCAACCCCTCAGGACAGGATCATGTCCCCCTCACACCCCCGGGGTAACGCTCAGCCCCTTTAGACACCCCCAGGGCAGAACCATGATCCCCTCAGCCTCCCCAGTACAGGATCGTGCCCCCCCACTCCCCGTTAGAGCTCTGCCCCCTTAGACACCCCCAGGGCAGAACCATGATCCCCCCTCACCCCCCAGGCAGGACCTCACCTACTCAGAAGCCCCAGAGCAAGGTCGGAACCTCTCAGGCCCCTAGCGTGGCAGGGACCCAGGCCCCGAACTGGGGGAGCTACCTGAGCGCAGGCTTCTCCCCGAAGGTGAGCGGGAAGATTTCTGTCACTTGGTTGGCAGCGAGGTCGGCGACGCGGAGGGAGCGCGGCAGAAACTGCGGGGCCACCGAGAGCTGGGGGAGACAGCGCGCTGGTCCCGACCTCCCGTGCCCCTGCATGTCGCCTGTCCCCCCGGGATGGGGGCTCACCTTGTTGTGGGCCACTGAGATGTGCTGGAGGTGGGGGAGGGACTCGAAGGCCTCGTCGGGCAGGCCTGGGGGTGGAGGTGGGGAGGGGTGGGGTCCGTGCCGCGGGGGTGCAGGGCCAGGCTCCCCCAGAAACTCGTGCAGCCCCTCCCCCCCCTCCCGACTGGAAAGCCGC